TTTTCAAGATCAGATCCCGGTTAAATTAATTGGTCTGGTTAAGTTCCACTATTGTAGGACTAGCAAAAATGGACAGAAATGCTCACAAAAAATATTTAACCAGCAATGTTTACACTTGCATTCAGACATTTCTATTCAAAATGATCTAGGTACAGAGCAGCTGTAAATGTACAGTCACGTTTACCAAATCCCTTGATTCTGGGGTATGGGGTATTCCATACAGCTGAGTTATAAATGCAAACAAACCTTCATTCTCTTGGCCAAGAGCTTTGCATATTCTGCTGCTTCCTCCTTATTCTTTTGAGTGCGTTGCTTCTTCAGAGCAATACGTCTGCGCTTATGTTGCAGAACTCGAGGAGTCACTAGTCGCTGGATCTTAGGAGCCTTGGTTCTGGGTTTCTTGCCTAAAAAAACATTATGAATAAACAGACACAGCAGTTATCTTCCAAAGAGGCCCAGGCTCATCTAGGAAACTTATATTTCTTTTAATGTTAAGAAGTAACATTACCGTACTGCGTATTATAGCAACTCCTACAAAGTTCAGTATCTTGAGAGATTTTTGCAGAAAAAAAGGACCAATTACTCTGAGATGTAGCATTAACAAAACAGTCTTACTTCTCACAATTTGTTATCAGCAATGCAATGCAAGTAATGCGTCTCTAACTCTCTACATTCTTGCAAAAATTTCTAGCTTCTCAACAGACTTGTCTTAAACAGAAACAGATCTACATGGCCCATAATGAGCAAACAAAACACACCACCACATACATCTGTAAAATTCTGCTACTCAGTCCTACCCAACTTCAGCAGTCACAAGCAACAGTCTGATGTCCACCAGTATCACATTCTTTAATGGACGGAATAGCTCCTATGATGCAGAAAATAGTGGTCTTTTACCCAACAAGCTTCCACAGTGCCCGAGCTTTATCATGTCCTTTTTGCTAAAAATCCTCATCTTTTCTGTTCCCTGATCAAATGCAAAAGAACCCGAAATTGCAAAACAGTGCCCTCCAAATAAAAGCTCATTTTAAAGACTGCCATAAGCAATAGGGAAAAATCTTATCTTCTATATATATTACTTTTTACCTCCACCTCACATTTAACCTTTGTTTATTAACAATTATTTTTGACTATTCTTAGAACCATTAGTAAGTATTACTTCAGATTCTATCAAACATCTAAAACCAAACTGTGACATAACAGATAGCGAAGAGAGGGTGTTGGAAGTGTGGGAAAAGCAAAACAGTGAAAGACTGCGCAACACATTTCCTTAACACATGGTGCCCAGAACAAACACAGGATGGGAGGGAGATCCAGTGATTTGTGTTGCCATGGCACCAAGGAGGAATGCAAATCAAGTCCTGTTCTACTTTTCTCAAGGAACATTTGACACAGCTATGCAGATTTATCTCCTCTTCCCCTTCTCTCGAGGACTGTTTTGCAAAACTCTGCAGACCTTACCTCTCATTCTTCCTCTTTTCCCACAAAACCACCCTGCACCAAGGAATGCGCTGTCACTACTCAAGAAACAATGGCTTTACCGCAGTCCCACTCACACATACATGCTGAGATAAATACTACCCCGAGTTTATATCTAACTTGGAAGGACAATAATCTGATACCAAATCAGAGGGACAGATCAACGGACCTGCAGTTTCTTCATTTACTGCAGGCAATCTCAGAGAATCAGTAGATGTTGCATAAGAATAAACTATACTATTCATGAACTTGTTTCTCTTGAATGCAACCAGACCTACAGCATACAGGCTATTCATGCACCTAGTGTCAGGCCTATAGTCATGGCTGTAATTGGGATACCTATTAAGACAGAAGTCTAGCTGCCCCTAGTCCCTCTAATCTCTGAAGACTGGCTAGAACACTAAGGGATTAGCCTCTTACCAGATAATTCATTACCTTAAATGCAACAGAGAGGTAAATAAATGGGGCAACCAAGAATCTCTGCTTCTCATTTGTAAGTTACAGTTGGCAAAGCTTAAATACCATGACAGCCAACTCCTGGATCTGCTACTATAGTGTGCTTCATCCACTGCAGTATGCTGACGCCTCTTTGCTGATAACTATATGAAACCAAAGAGCTGTTAAATTTGGGTTCTCACCCTCTTTGTTCAGGGGTTTCCTCACAACATACTGGCGAACATCATCCTCCTTGGACAGGTTGAACAGCTTGCGGATTCTGCTAGCCCTCTTGGGACCCAGACGACGTGGCACAGTTGTGTCTGTCAGCCCAGGAATATCCTTTTCACCTTTGAGAATAGAAGTTTAAACATGTGTGGTGGTTTAGGCCCTGCCGGGACCAAAGACCATGTTGCCATTGTCCCTCCCTCACCCTCAGATTGAGTAGGGCACAAACCCTGGGGTTGAAATAAGGAAAAAATTTAATACAACAGTGTACACCTGCTTTTGTTAGTGACTTTCAATTCTAAGTTCAAAATGTCTAAGAATTCAAGATAATACTAGATAATCGTTGGAGTTCACCTGCCAATAGCACCACCACCCCACTCCTAGCTACACTTTGCAGACTTAATGTGATCAGATTGCTGGCAGGATCAGAAGCATTTCAGTGACCAGTTTTAAAGTTACAAGAAGGTAATGCTCAGCTGGAATTTCAAAACACATTCACACTCTAAACTGGGACTCCATTTGCATTCTACAGAACTTCTCAGCCACTAGCAAGCAGACTCCTTCCAAGTGCCTATATATGCTGCTTGCTTCATCCAGATTCTTACCCTTTTTGACGATGACCAAGTTCAGAACACTCAAGTTGGCATCAACAATGCAACCACGAACTGATTTGCGTTTTCTCTCCCCAGTTCTTCTGGGGCGATAGCAGGAGTGACCCTTGCTGAGCAGAAGGCGGACACGTCCATGAGTCAGGACACCTTGCTTCATGGGGAAACCCTGTTTGTCATTGCCACCACTGATCCGGACAACATAGCCCTTTGAAGAGAGAAATACACTTTTAGCTGCTCACACGCCTCTGTTACTTCAAGGACAAGTGGCAGATAACACAAATACTATTCAAAAGAATGGGCACTGTGGCCATGACTCAGGAAAAGTCACTGTTGCTGCCAATGCAAGCAACTTCTTCAACCAACACCACTACAATGGTTCAGGAATTTTACTTAACAGATGAGAAAAATATCTCTGTGTACCAGAATTTATTCTGCTTATCTTCAAATATACATTCAAAAATTCCTATCCATTCGAAGTTTTAAGCTACATCAGAATGAATCTTGTCCATTTTTATCTAGCTTTTCTTTAAACCTAAACTTAACTAAAGCCTGTTATCATCGCACACTAGAATCTGCATACAACACAAAAGCATCTGGAGTAGGGATACATGGGTAAAAAAGGAAGCTAACAGTAAAGATTTTATTGTCTTCCTTGTGGAGATTTTAACAGACAAGATCAACTTACCCCAATACAGCTGGGCTGTCTGAATTAGTAACATGCAACTATTCCAAGCCCACCTACCACGCCCAACATGCTTCTTCCCTATGCACTTACAGCAGTTTAAACACAGGGCAATTTTGGACTTGTTCAGTAAAGAAGGGATCAGCAGCTTTATGGTACAGATTTAATTTGTCCTGAGTATGAAGAGCAAAAAATTACTGCAAAGAATAACGAGAAACTCTGAACACAGGGCTTTAAAAAAAAAAAAAAAAGCACTTAGATCAAAGCAGCAGAACAGGCTAGTTTGATCACTGAATTCAGTATATAAAGCAAGAGAAACTTTCAATATACATACCAAATGTACATCATACAAGCACTCGTGTGACGACTGCATACTGGAGAAATTTTGCCATTTAAGCTCCTAGAATACAACTCTTAACACATCCTACACTTCTTACCTTCCACTCCTCACCAAGAGAATCAGCAGCGACCTCTGTGGCCATCCGTTTCTCATAGAATGTTCTCAGCTTGCGCTCATCATCCACTTCAATGAGTTTCTGGCAGCCAGTGGCTGGGAAAGAGATGTTCAGCTAACAAGATTTTTTTGAAAAAAGTATTAGATTTTGCTGCAACTTCACATGAAATATTTTGACAGAAAATTAGCATTTATCTGCTGGTTTCATCTTAAAATTTCAGAACTGAGATTCCCTATCTGCTTATATGAAGGTTTCCTAGCCGTAACTTGTCAGTACCGTGCTCAGAGACCCCGGCAGGTCCGTCCTTGAGCGCACTAGGCTGCCTTATCCATTCAGTTACACATAAAACTGGGTTTACTATAGCGGTAGGTGCTTGATTATCTACAGACAAACTGCAATCAGTTAAGGTGAGGGCAGCAGAAACTGTCCCCCGCCTTCCGCAGCGTACCTCGTACTAACAGACTGAATAAGCAACCTAAAGGGAGTGACACCTGCCGTCGGTGACCACTGGTGCTTCCTGGAGGGCGGTGGTATCCCCTGAGCCTGGGGGACGCCTCCCAGCACTTCCCCCTCGAGGACAGCCTGAGGTCAGCTCTGGCCCAGCCCCAGCGTACGCGGTGCCTCCCTGCTAGGGCCCCCCAGCGACAGCGCAGACCCCCCACTGGTAAGCCTTCTGAGATGAGGAGCGACCCCTTCTAAGCTACCGGAACGCGGAGCTCCACGGCCCGGTGGCAAGGGAGGCCGCCCTGAGTAAAAGGGGCCCACGCGGCCGCCATGTCGCCCCGCCACCAATCCGCTCCCATCCGCCCCATAGCGGCGCTCCAGCCCCGCCACCAGGGACCATTGTGCCCCAGCACTGGCCCCGGACGCAGCCCCGGAGCCATCTGAGGCGGGGGTACCCGGGCCCTCCCGGGCGGGCGCCCCACGCAGCCTGACCTTCATCCTGCCAGCGCCGCTCCGCCGCGAGAAAAGGCCGCACTTCCGCGCGCAGCCCGCACATACCCCGCCAGCTCTCGCGAGAACGGCGCAGGCCG